ATGTACTATTTAAATATATCCAAGAAAACTTCTTTCGATTATAAACTTTATATTTTAGATTAAAAATACTTTTCGCAGTCGTTTTGTCGTTGGTAGATATATATGTGTATAAATTAAATAATAAAAGAAAATGTAGCTAAAATTTTTATTTCAAAATTAGTAAATCTTCAACGAATTTGCTCTTTTTTTCGCCATCATCGGACTAAATTCAATTCCAATACATCATCAATACAAAACTTATTCATAACCATTATTCATAATATCAACATTTGTCTCAAAGATAAATACCCATAGTAATTTGAAATATAAAATTGTTACTGCATTTAATCATGCAAAAGAGTTAGTTAGTAATTTGAATATATTATCTTCGTCAAATAAATACAATGTTTTTGAACTACGCGATCTAAGTAAAAATATATTTGGCAATGCTAGATTAAACATTAATTCAGTTAATTATCTGATAGCTAATTCAGATTCATCATGAAATTCTGGATCTGATTATGATGATGAACAATGGATGGTGATGAAGTTGATAATGACCTATACAACTTGGACGAAGAAGATCAAGATGTGAAAATCACACAAAGTATTGATAAAGTTAAAATTAATAAGATGGACTTTAATGGTATACGTATATCTTATCCGATAAATCTAGCATTGAAGAGCTCCTATTTTCGGGTACAAATAAATAACAAGCCTAAATTTATATATAAGCAAAGGGCTTGTTGGCTATTGACCGATAAAACTAGCCATTTATCAGCTGATAGACCTTCACGAGTAATAGAAATCAACAAAAAAGATTAAAATTCTCCATAACATTGATATCAAATTAATAGAACACTTCTTATGGAAATTAAAAAGTTTTATTAAAAAAGAATTGTACTATTAACTATCCTCTTTTTGTGTACTCAAAAAGTGAGTACATTCTAGAATCGGTCAGTATGTCCGTCCGTCCGGCCGTTAACACGATAACTTTTGAAAGAAGAGTCCAATCGCGATGAAATTTTCTACACAGTTCAGTCTTAACAATGTCTCGGTCGAGTTCGAAGATGAGAAGAATTGGCTGAACCATTCCTGAGTTATTGCAAAAATACTCATTTTTTCTTATGGCTTCCTATGCGAAAATCGACCCATCCTCGCTTTCGTAAAAAACTTTTCCTATCATAGCCAAATAAAACCCCAACTATTATATACTATTCGATAGAGAATTTCACGAGCTACAAAATGGTATATAAAGCATTAAAAATTTGAGCTCAAACTTTCGGGTCAAGGAAAGGGTTTTTTGAGAAAATAGTGATATTTTATAAAGGTTGGCGAAAGCAAATCGGGGTTGAGGAATCTGAATTTGAAGTCAGATTTTGAAAATATTGAACAAAAGTTGTTGGGTTAAGGAATCGTTTCTTCACTTTTTTATCTCATAACTTACTCACTTGAGTGTAGTGAATTTATAGATTAAACTGTTTTCTGTCCAATTGAGACCTTCTTTAGCTCAAAGGACCAAATCGTTCACGAGACAAGGTTAAAATGCCGAGCATACACTCAAGATAGTTAATTTTTATTATTAAACTGTCTAAAATATTCATCCTTGAGCGCACTAAGGAACTGCCCCTTAGGCCCTGCGGATGCCCTCTTTTTGTCCCGTGGGACGTGGCGAGGAGTTAGTTCCGGGAGTTTTATTCATTCGCATAAACTTCTTTGCTTTAGCTGAATCGTGTTTCTTATTAGAAGCTCATGTTAATTATGTCAAAGTGCGGTACAAATTGTTGAGGATTATCTTCAAATGGCAAGAGAGCATCATAATGACTACCATTGTAGTAAACACATGATCCTAATTTATTCATATCAGATTTGTATCCTACGTATTTCAAAGGACCACCTGCTGTCCGTTCATTAAATCGATCGATCAATTCCTCCAAGCTAATATTCGGTGGTATATAATGCCTATTTTCTGGATTGTTGTTAAATCGGGTATATGAATATATAGGATGAGATAGAGCTATAGAGAGAGCTTGAATTTGAACTTCTCCACCCCATATTTTATGCTTAGCAGTTCTTTTCAACTGTTCTTCAAATGAATAACCCAATGATTTGCAAAGTGTTCGGAAATAATCGCTATTATTGATCATTGCATTTACTGCCAACAATCTCATCGAATGTGTTAGTTTTTCAGATCCAATATTTAATATCTAAAGAGAACTATATAAACAATTGCCATCTGCAGTCGTGCGGGTTCGAGCATAAACTGAGTCAAATGCTTGAACAGAATATTCTGTTTCCAATTCTAACCGGACGAATCGGTCTTTATTTTGCATAGTTATAAACGGTGATTTTTCAATTACATCATTGATTACTTGAGCTTGACTTGAAATTTGATGAGTGTCTGTAGTATTATTTAAATCAAGTACAAGAAGAAATTGATCAAGAATCTTTCTCGAGTTTGAATCAATGATTTCATAGTTTTCGAAAGAAGATTGTTCATCGATTTCCATCATATCAGATTGATCACTGGCGTGAAGGTCTTCAAGATTATAAGTCGTATCTATATCGATTTGTTCGTTTTCATCAACTATTTCATAACGACCGAAAGAGAATTCTTCGTCAACTACCATCATATCAGACTGATCATAAATTTTAAGATCTTCCAGATTAAAAGGTATATCTGTACGAATTTGTTTAATTTCATCAACATGAACTTCAGTCAAAATTCCATGTTTTCTTATCCATATTGGTTTATGGAAACTTGTGAGGCTTTCAAAATAATCAGATTTTAAGTCATTCATATTAGTGAAGCAATAGTCAATCTGTGTTTTAGCATTAGTTGAACTTTTATTTAATTTATTAATCAGAGTCAACCCGAATGACTCCATATATTCAATGAATTTGTGGTTGGTTTTTATCTTCAAATTTATATTGAAATCACCAACAACAATTATATCTTCACAGAATCTTTTTGAAATAGATATAACTTCATTAATATGTCGTTTTAAGACATCAAATGATGAATTTGGTGAATTGTAAACGGAAATAATACAAATATCATGAATTTTTATTGAGCAATATTCAATATGGTCTTTCCCTGAATATGCACATCTTTCGGTGATATTTTCATACTTCAAATCATTTTTTAAGTAAGTGATTTGACCGAATGGTTTTCGTGTATCATTACAATTACGTCTGTGAATTACTTTAAAACCTTCGATTTCCAAAGAATCAGTAGGTTTTGTCCATGTTTCAACAAGACTTATCATAGAAGCACACAAAAATGTTTTGTCAGATCTGATATCCAAAATATGTTTATTCAATGATTGTACATTGTGAAACATCACGAAAAATCTTTCTCCTTGAGATTCTTCAGGAAATTCAAGTGAAAATTTCAGCATTCGTTCGGATCTCATGGTTTTGAACATCATCGACACTGCATCATTACGTTCAGGTGGTTTTGGTGGAACGAAGTCGCCAATTAAATATAAACCACTTGATTTTGTTGCACGACTACAAGAGACATATAATTCAGATCGTGTCATCCCTTTCTTTAGATTAACAACGACTTTTTCATAAGTTCCACCTTGACTTTTATATATAGTCATAGCTTCAGAAGGAACTAGAGGAAACTGTTTCCGTTCTACTTTGAAATTTGTTGACCGTGTGTTTATTTGCCGTGTTACCGGTTCAATTGGTGTGAGACTGGGATCAATATTTCTATTTCGCATTACATTATGAAAGTTGGCTCTAGCTTTTCTTCCAGTTTTCTCTTCATTAAATTTAATCCATAGTCTACATGGTACTGTCTCATTAGTCTTTTGAAGCTTTCCATAATCAATCATTATCAATTTTCCACAGGCGCCATTTACTAATCCATCTTCAGTGTCAATATTCACTGTCATCATATACTTGGCGCCCACTTTTAAATCAATTTTAAGTGGTAAACCGTAAGTTTCAGTTGTTTTCAGGTTCTTTATGTTGTTTAGAACTTTTTCTCTTATTGATACAAGTCCATCACCAATACAAAAATCATAAGCATTAGCGATTGCACCTTCGGTATTAAGACTGGCCAATACTTTTGTATTATATGCATCAACTTCAGCATTACTTCTAAATATTCTTATTGCATCTCCCACCATTTCCAAATTTTCGTTTGAAACAATTCGTGATTTTAATAAATTAATATCTTCAAGCGTCATTGCACCTTTCGCAATATTACTTAATGCAATAGCGAAAGTCTTATCATCCTTTTGTCTCATAATTTCTGTTAATTCAAACAATTCAAATAATGACCATAATGGACTATCTACTAAAGCATTATATGAATTATTAAACTAGAATATGTATTTATCACCAACTGGTCTTAATTGATTGAAATCGCCTAAAACTATGACTGATATTCCGCCAAATGGTTTCTTTGTTCTCATTATTTGCTGCAAACGTGCATCGACTTGTTGAAACATTGTAAAACCAACCATTGATATTTCGTCTATTATTAATAATTGTAAGTCTTTTAATTTGACTCCAATTCTATTCGAAACATCGCTATTTAGTTGAACAAGCTTATGTTTGCATTGATTTACTGGTAAACTTAAAAATGAATGCAAAGTCATTCCATCAATTAATGCTGCTGCTTTGCCAGTTGGTGCACATAGTGCAGCCCGAATACTATCTGGATAATATCCTGGAAGTGAATTATAAAATCTTAGTATTGATTGATACACTGCTTTGATTAGAGTGCTTTTGCCAACACCTGCACCTCCATTGATGAAATGAAAAAATTGACTTTCACCATTTTTCATCAAATTCATTACGTTTAGAGTATATTTCCTTTGATTATTATTAAGATTTCTCATCATTTGTTGATATTCTGTGTCTGGTATTATTTTGGGAACATTAAAGTGTTCGACTTTTTCAGTTCGAGTATTTATTCCCATTTCAACAAAAATATCACCTTCAGTATTTCCTATTTCATAAATGAGAAATTCATTTTTATCTTGATCGTATTCAATATTTGTATCATCAATATCACCTTCATCTTCTTTTTTTTCATATGTTCTTCTAAAGCTTGTTCGAATTCATTAGCTTCACGATGAATATATTCAGATCTTTTTTGTTGAATTATATCTTTATACAATTCAAATCTCTCTTCATGGTTTATATGAATAAGATCTTCTTCTTCATTAGTCCATGGTAGAAATAGCATTAGCTGCTCTATATAATAGTTTTCAGGATCTTGATGTAGTTTAAAGTATCTGTATCTTATGATTTTTTTCTTTGTCCTTTTTTTAATCCAACCCTTACCATTTTTCATTTTCATAGGAGCAATTTTAGTATCACTTTCATTTTCAGTGATATCTTCGTCATCAGAATTTTCTATAATTCGATCATTATCTGTTTTTTTTTTTGAAATATTATACATCGAAGCAAAATCAGCCAGACAAACATTTTTCATTTCGTCAGGTCTATTAACATACATCTCAATTAAGCCCTCAACAAACACATCTTTTGAATCAGGCTCCAATTTTTCAAGAATTTCGTCTGATTTGAGAATAGAAATTCTGTTTTCGGGTCTGTTTGTATTAATAAATACAGTACTTCTGCTGCTGGTTGAAAGTGGAATACTTAAAATATGATAGACAGCTTCTTGTGCTGAAATTTCACTTGAATTCAAAAATTTATTTGCAATAACTCTAAGACGTTCTCTGACTGTGTTATTACCTTTTTTTAGCTCATTCAATGCTTCTCTTAGAAGTTTAGACATTTCATTTTCAGATTTGCTAATGTAGTCAATACAATACATTGAGCATGCATAAGGATCAAGAATGAACTGAATGTCCATATTTGCTTTGTGCAATGACATTATCATTGGATTGTATGCATTGATTCTGATTTCATTTGGAGCACGTTTCAAGAATACTTTCGCTTTTTTTAATTCAGCTCGAATCATTTTAATATATTCTTCTTCATTCATATTTACATGTTTCAAGAATTCTTCAAAAGTTAATGAATTATCTTGATCTTTTGATATTTTGTCAAGTTCTTTGATTACATTCTGTCTATTTTTGCTGATCTCTTCACGTTCTTTCTTAGTTAACTTTTCATCGTCACTAAATGGTTCTAAAATCATCGTTTTTCTCATCGGAAAATATGGAATACCAAAACGACATTTAATACAATCTTTCACATATTTTTTACAAGTATGTGAGTGCTTATGACGTTGCAAATTGATAAGTTCTTCAGAAAACTTCGTTGGCTTAGAACTAACCGAAATCAATTTATCAATAAATTCTGTACATCTTTCGATCGATTCTGGTTTCTCTTTATCGTATTTCGGAGCATTTTTTAACTACAGTAGAGCATGAACATGTGGTGAACCACGAACTTGGAATTCAATTGTGACTTATTTGTCTACTAATTCATAGCCTTGAAATGGACCACAAGGAGCCGATAATATTTCCCATAAACATTTTAATCTATGTTCAAAATAACGAACACATGTTACAGGATCATTTCTTATCAAATCGCATTTCTTTTCATAACTCATGTTTTCTGCTTCCTCTAATGTTATTACTTTATTTTCCAACACTTGAGTCAATATTACAATTAGTTCTGACCATTTTGTTTCTGCTGCTGATAATGTTAAAAATAGTGTTGGACATCCTAATTGCCTGATCATTGCCATAACTTCCTTTTTCTTTAGTTCCCAGAACGCTGGTGAAGATCGATCACATCGCAAGAATGTAAAAGCATCATCATTATGTATTAATCCATTTACATAATCTCGATTGAGCATCTGTGTAGCAGTTATGTTTTTTGTATTTTTTGTCTTTCTCAAATTTATTGAAATAGCATCGGAGAACTTTCTCGTTTGTAGTTTCTTATATGTGAAAAACAATTTCGATATTCTACCACATCTTCGATCAAACATTCTTAATTCTGACTTGGCAATCTTAGCATAAGTTAATTTAACATTCGCTTTGATTTTTCTTTGCTTGCCACAATAAATTTTCGGAAATGTTAATTCATCGACTTTTAAATCCATTAGAATCGATATCGGCCTGTTATTCTCTCCTGGAGCAAATTTGATACCAATATCATTCTGATCACCAATCTCGTCATTTAATAATGTTTCAGTAGTACTTGGATTGACTGGTTTATCGTCACATTCATTCCATTTGTCCTCGTCATCAAAATCTTTGCTGATGTTTTCATTTTCATGGAATTTCTTATCTTCATCATCGATGATAAAATTCTCTCTCTCGTTAGAATATTCTTTCAGCCAATCATGAGATATCACAATTCCTTCATCTTTATACAGCTGTTGCTCAACCAAATATTTCACAGCAGTATGCACAACTTTTGGTCGAATTGTTTCATACATAAAAGCATTTTTATTTTTCATTTGTCTCATGAGTTTCAATTGAATCGTGTGAGTATCACTGAAACTTCTAGGCAATACTGAAACATTCGTATCAACATTTATGGGAACATTTACAAGGTTACCCTTGAGACCGAATTGTTTACAAGAACCTAAACTTCGAATAACCATAAAAGGAATTCTTGGTGATATTAATCTTTCTTCTAATTCAGTCAAGATTTTCAAACAATTCGGTACTTCATAGAATGCTAAACCATTAGATAGACTGAGATTAGGTACCTTATTCGACATGATGTCCTTTCTGCAAGTGACACATAATTTAATGATTGTATTTTTGAGATAACAAACTGTATCGATAAATTCTTTTTTTAATCCTTTGTTTGTTAACATCTCAACTGTAAATTCTCTGATTGAATACTCAAACCATAAACCACCACAGCAGCTGCAAATATGAGTAGGTCCTTCTTTTATTTTTGACTCATAATTTGATTTCATGCCATCAAAACTACTTTTGTAATTATCTCTACTATTGTGCATTCTTAGTGCATTTCTTCTTCTTTCTTCTTCTTTGAATTCATCATCCTGTCGTGCAATTTTCAGAGCTTCGGCTCTTCTTTTATTTTCTTCTGTTTTGAATTCATTATCTTGTCGTGCAATTTTATGAGCTTCGGCTCTTCTTTTATTATCTTCTTCTTTGAATTCATCATCTTGTCGTGCAATTTTCAGAGCTTCGGCTCTTCTTTTATTATGTTCTGTTTTGAATTCATCATCTTGTCGTGCAATTTTATGAGAGTTTGCTCGTCTTCTATTGTCTAACAAGCGAAATTCATCATCAGTTCTTCTTTCTCTCATTCTTTTTGTTATCTCAGCATTTCTCTGAGATATAGATCTTTTTTTAAGCTTCGGCATTTCTTCAAACAGGCTCAAAATACTTTTGATGTGACTGATTTTTTCCGGGCCGTAGATAATGAAATAAAATACGATTAAATTAGTCGTTAAAATCTTAAATGAAAGCAACTTCTCACTCAGATTAAGCACGTGTATATACCGAGTACGTCTCTACTTAGTGAGACACGTGTTTATCTCTAAACTTGGTGAGATAAACAATGGAAAAGTTTCTTTCGAGATAAATCTTCGTTAAGACTTGGTGAAGATATATACTCGATTCGAAGCAAGAAACTTTAGAAAATCAAAAACTTGACAATCGTTTTTGAACAAAAATTTGATTTTTATTTCCTTTATTTGAACAAAAAATTTGATTTTTATTTCCTTTATTTGATTGAAAATAATAAAAATCTAAAAAAGTAAAAAAAACAAACTAATGATTGTGATTTTAATAACGGACACAATTGCATTTATAAATGAAAATAAATGCTAAATTGAATTCTGATTTAGTTTGCATAGATTGTTTTTACTCAGTTCAAGATATGAATTAAATGAATTAAAAAAAAAACAACAAAGACAACAAAAAAGTTCTATTGAATTGTCGAATGATCCCACGCCTTTTTTTCTTCATCCTACTCAAATATGTCAATATATTATTGATTTATATTATTAATTTCATATTCGGAGATAGAAAATGATGTGATCCTTCTTAATTATTGTTTGTTTTCTACAAGAATTATTATTCATTATGAATATGAATTGAAATTTTTGAATCAAAATAAAACATCGAAACACTATTGAATATTATACAGAGATAATTTGAAAAATTCGAACTCAATAAAAAAAAAAAAGAAAATTTACTCAAGCCTTTTATAAGAAAATAAGATACCTCCGCCACTACTTTTGGGTACCCCCTAAGTATATAGATCGATGGTCCATATGCAGTGATCGTTTGGAAAATAAAAAAGGAGTTCATTTTCGATCAGATAGATGGATTCATTCGTTAAAAGGAAACCAATTTAATTGAATCCTAACACAACTTAACGATTAGTTGGGAAAGAAGATAGGATATAGAGCTGGCAAGTTACGAATGGCGTCGATGAATGACTCGCCGTTTGTTTCTAAGATTAATATGAGCCTCTCTTTCGCGAAGCTTTCTAGAGATTGGACAATAGTTTTTAGAAGAGCTCGACCAAGTGGATAGAATTTGGGATCGGTGAGTCACAAATGGGGCCCTCGAGAGACGCGCCATTCATTTGCGAGGTAGACAAGTCTTTTCTTGTGTAAAGCTTTGAATGAAATATAGAGTATTTTTCGAAAGAGCTGAGACAATTGTTGTGGTGAAGACGACTAATTCAAAATCGTACCAATTTCTCATAAAAAGCCAAAGAAATGTAATCTATGGTGAGAATACTGCGTGCATACTACATATTCCGAACTCGACATTACTAGTGTTGCTTTTTCCAAGTTGCAAAAGTTGTAAGACTTATTCGTATGGTGCCGGCTATAGCATCACACAAACTGACGATTTATCTGATGGTATTTGTCAAAGTGAATAGAATGAATTCAGTCGAGGGTGAAACGAGTCGTAGTGACGAGCGTTACTTGTATCACAAATGAGTGATAAACTTCCTTTATTTGCTTTACCATATGTCACAGCACCAGATAAACATGGGTCATTTCAAGATTTATTCTCATTTTATTCTTAGACATTTTTTTTAAATAAATTCTTTTTTCTTTTGATTAGGATGATTGATCAAGAGATTTACGTACAAAATTATCAGATCTTTTTCATTGGATTTTTTCCAGTAGATCATTATCAAATTTTTTTGCATTATATTACAAAATGATAAACGTACAATACATGTATTAACACAATTAAAAAATGAAAATGAAGAACTTGAATATTGAAATGGAGAAAGAAATAGACAAATTAAACATATAAGTACAACTTATTATAATTGAATTAGTAAATCATATATATATATAGTTGGTCAAAAAAGTATCTCACCATCCCGTTTTAGTCTCATAGAAAGAGTTTATTCAAATAAACCCTTTAGAAAAGCGGACCCTTGTGGAACTCACATATGGCAGAGAACTTCCTTTGTTCTATCCAATGAAGGTGTTTGGAGAAAGAAAAACAATATATTTTGAAATTGAAAATTATTTTTTGCCACAAAGCATGAAATTTTTGTGAAAAATATATCCCTGTCAACTTTGATGATCAGATGGAAGAAATTCATCTACTTATGATCTTTGTTATGAATGGTTGTTTAATGATTAAAATTTACTTCACTATTCTAATCTTAAATCAGTTGTTCTTGCTCAATGTGGTTCAATTAGATCAATAGTTCAAAGTTTATTACATCATAGTCAATACCAATTAGATAAACTTAAATTAACATTTGCTAATAAAGTGTTTCATCAAATGCTTTATGTGAAACGGAAGTCAGTAATAGTTTCTGATATAGGTAATTAATCATTTTTTTAATAAAATAGATTCTTTATAGAAATTTAAATTGATTTGTTATAAAAACAAGGGAATGATTGAAACAAGTAGATACTTTTGAGAAAAAAATTCTTTTTATTTGTTAGAAGAAAAAAATATTTTTAAACAATTTTTTCATAAGTGTACAATATATTTTTTTTTAGATTTCTTTTATTCATCTGATGAAGAAAAGAAAACGTGATATTGCCCTAGTGAAACTACTCATCAAGCGAGTACGACTTGCCAGCATGAGTACTCATATTACTCGCAGTAGTACTCGCGAAATGTTATGTGTGTTTCTACTTTTCGTGTACTCTATCGAGTACTCAGATGGGTTTTTTCTCTAAAATTTACTCGAAGGCAATAGCCTGAGTACTCAATGTAGTACTCATCCACGGTTTTTCCAACATGTTTGGCAAAGCACTTATGCACTAATATAAAAAAATCGGATAAAATTGTATAAGGCAAAAAACTGATGTAATTAAATCAAAAATACAAAAAGAACTATTTTAACGACTCAAATTTTTTATCCTCCATTTTTTCCGACAATTTATAAATGCTGCTTTTATGAATGGTTAGTTGAAGAATGAAATAACGACTTTTCATTTTTCAACTGTTCTTTTCCTAGGTAAGGTTGTATATTTCTTTAAAATGTGAACGTTGATATGTTCGGTTTCATTTATTCGATTTCAGGTGAAATATCCTTCTAGATCAGTACAAAACTTTTTTTTACATTAATGATGAAAATTAATGAAACAAAAAATGAATAATAACTTCCACCAAAAATATCGTTAGAATTTATTATAACGAAGAAATATGCATCATATGATAGACGATTTATTTATTTATTGTCCATTTTTTAATAGTAGTGACTCAAATCTATTTTTCAGTCTGAAATATGTTTTTTTTTTCTTATTATATATTTTATACGTGTATTGTTAAACCATATCTTGATTTCGTGAATAATTTATTATTCATTTTTCTTTACTAATGATTTCTTGTTCTGAAGGCGTAAATTTCTTTAATCTTTCTGTTTTTCTAATGACGAGAAGTGACGATTTTCTATGTGAAAAAATTAACTTGATGTAAAGTCCTAAATTATCAAATTTATTTTTATTTAAAGTTTCGTAATGTATTAATGTATTTTTTGTTTTTACTTTAATATTTAAATAAAATAAATGTGCTACATTTGTACTGAATAGAATATAGATCCATGAGTATTTAAAAAAAACTATTAGAATACACAAAAACTGTATATGAGTACTCGCAAAAGACTCAATATTACACAGTAAGTACTCGATCGTCGTACTCAGATACTCGGATTCTAGCATTAGTACTACTGATGAGTACTCAAAATCCATGAGTACTCATGAGTACTCAAAATCCATGAGTACTCATGAGTACTCGCGGCATTTTCTAGCGTGAGCACTTTTTGAGTACTCTCTTGACGAGTACCTTCACTAGGGGATGTTGTTATGAGTAAATGACGAACAAAAGTTTTATTTTTTTTTTTTTTTGAAGTTTTTTTGGAAGCTTCTATAAATAATTCGGCACTAAAATGAAAAATGTAGTTTGATTTAAGCCAAATAAAAAATTAATTAAATCATACATTGTTGATTTGAAAACATCTTTTAATAGTTCCATTTGTTGTTCATTACTTTCCTTTTTTTTTTCTCGGTATCTTTGGCAATTGAGAAATACTCTTGATATTTCTCTCTGTTATTTGAATATTAACAGCTTCAAGATCTTTAATTGCTACAAAACAGAAAAGTATGATTCATTTTATGACGAAAGTCAGATAAATTACTTTTGATTACATCGAATTTACATTTATCCGATAAGAAAAATTTTTTTCGTTGATGAGATTGGTTGACGATCGATGCTTCTCGAGCAAATATGTCTTTGTATTGATTATTATCATTACTACAATATATATGAGATTGAAGATGAAAAAATAAAAAGTAGATGATAATCACCGTTTGAGAAAAGCGTAATGCTTTGCTCTTTTCACCATGACGATCGTTCCATGGACTCCTTTTTCTGAGAATAGAATATTTGTTTTAGTTTTTTAATTTTCAAAAATGTATTACCAACAACAATAGGTTCATTGTTAACAGGTTTAAGTACTTTATCCTTGCTTCGAACGATTGTTCGACTATAAACTCGTTGATCATCACCAACAATCATTGGTTCATCATCATCAGCAATCACTGAGTTATTGGCAAATGAATCTACACCTGTTTCTGTCATTAATGTATTCAATTTGTCCTTCTTATTTCTGCTGATGATCATTTTTAACTTGACTTAGGAGGTTTATTCCGTTTTTAAACAAAAAAGGAAGATTTTGTGGAATAAAAAAAGGTTTTTATGAAAATAAATTGCTTTAAAAATCTTTGAAATTGATCAACAATCGAAACAATTATTCGAACAAGAAAAAAGTATTTATTCATTACGTTTTATTCCACATAAAAATATTTTTAAATATTTTGGTTATTCAATTAATAATCAATTATTTTATCTTTTATTTGAGTATTCATCTTTTGGTTCATTAAAAAATTATTTAATTGAAAATTTTATTTAAATGAAAAAGATTTTTTATTAATATCAAAACAAATTAGTGAAGGTCTTCATTTTCTTCATAAAGATTTTCGAAATAAAAATCAATTTAAACGTCCACCTATTGCTCATAGAGATTTTAAATCAGAAAATATTCTTCTTTTTAGATTTTGATCATATTGTTATTTGTGATTTTACTATATCAACTCAAATTCAACAATATTAATATAGTTTAAATCAACAACAACAAGTCTTTCTTTTCTCTTTCTTTTGAATAAAAGTCTTCATCTGAAATTAAATAGATTGGACCACCTCGTTATGTGTCTCCAGAACTTTTAGCTGGAACTATTCGATGTGACGAAACATTTTTACTTAAATGTGATGTTTATACACTTGGAATTGTCTTTTGGAAAGTTTTATCAAGATTTCATTTTCAAAGTAAAATTAAATCTTTTTAAAATAAAAACTAAAGATAAAATTATAGATATTGATGTAAATAATTATTTATATCCACTTGAAGAACAATTAAAAGAATTAAATTTGAGTCTCAATAATCCAACAGTAAATGAAATGAATATAATTATTCATCTAAAAGAATCAAAAAATCGTCCATTAATTAATTCAAAATTGAAGAGTTTACAATTAAAATCATTTGAATTAATTGTTAATATTTTAAATGAATGTTGGCAATTAAATCCAGATTTAAGAATTTCATTTGGAGTTATTTTTAACAGAATTCAGTCCTTTTTATCTTCACTTTATAACAATTAAAACATATTCTCATTCATATTTATCTCTTTTATTCTTTTCTTTTCTTTTCTTTTCTTTTTCTACATCTGTGTTTTTTTCTTTGAAATTCAAATTTAAGAAAATAACAAGAAAACAAAGAGAAAAGAAATTATTTTATTCGTTATAAATGAAACAATGATTATTTAGAAATTGAGATATTTATGTGTTGCTACTTGAGTTGAGGTTTATAAATGGATCGAAGGACAACAATTTTTTAGGAAAAAATAATATGTTTTTTCAAATTTATCGCTAATCAAATATCACTGATGCCTTGATTATTTTGTTTTAAATTGAATGCAAATTTTTGTTAAAAGACGGAGTAATTTCCTGAATAACTGTATTTATTCCTTTTCACAAGAATTAGTGCAGGTGTAATGGCTTGCTAATCAGCATAAACTCGTTTATTTTGAGTCATTCATTCCTTAGCAGCAGTTTTTGAGTTATATCTTCAGTAGTGTATTCGTTTCTCGTTCCAGTTTTGCTGTGCATGATATAAAATATTTAGGACAAAATAAGAACGAAAAAAGTGAATGTCCATTTTCACTTTTTGAAGTACACATAACACTCGGATGTAAATCCGAGGTTTCCGCATTTATTTTAAGTTCAAACGAGTGCGGACTTTTCCAGTAGATTGACGAAGCCATAAAAGTTCACATTTCTGGTAAAATAAGTTTATCAAAACTTTACTATTTCATTGGTTTTCTTATGAATTTTCCACATATTAAATGTACGTGCAAAAATCCAGAAGACTTCATGAGACTTCACAAGACTTTAAGACACTGCTGAGATCTCATGGGACTTCAAAACCCAAGTCTTAGTTGTTTCTCCTCGTTCACACTCACATCCCATTATCAAACAACCACACCCACACCCACACTCACACCCATACCACCAATAACCACATTCATACCCATATCCATACTCACATCCACACTCACATACAAATCAACAAATAGATCAAGCGATGCACTCCAGACATGAGTAACCAACCACAAATATCAACTATTTCATGCTCAACGAGCCACATCAGCGCATCCACTTTCGTCTGGTAATTGACTTACCTAATCACATCTGACTATCTGTGCAAAAGGAGTGTTTGTTTTGGGATGCTTCGCCATTCATGCAACTTTTCTTGATATCGTGGTGCAGCGCTAAATAGACAATGTTACTGGGAAGTTGAATGGTTGTAGGAAAACTATTGTAGAAACGGTCGGACTGGTCGCCCGATTATGAACGCTGTCATCTATAAAAGAGAAGGTCGCAGTCTTATCCGAGTAAGTATAAGAAATATAAAACGATTTATACTAGGTCGAAGTCAATTAGATAACAGAAACCTAGTTACCCATTCTTCATCATATAGTCTGACTAATCCGGAGAAGCAAAAAAGCAAATATTGTAGAATTGAATTTGTCAGACAGTACTGTTATTAATTTGTTTGTGCTGATTTCTCTATTGTTCATTTACCAGAACATAAGGGGAATACGAGACAACTAAAGAAACCATTATATTTATTATGATAAGTGTCTCGCAAATATTGGTTTAAGTAATTTTCCATAGTAGATCAATGAAAAAACTCCATCTATTTTTGCCCTATAAATACAGAACACATTGATGAAACCAAAGAGAGACGGTGTCATGGCAAAGAAAGTATTTGTTAACATCTCAATCATTTGCTTCTTATCCAATGTTCTGAACTTTACAATTCGGCAATGCCCAGCAGGCTTCTATTGTCCAAAAACCTAGAGGCATCATCAAACCACTACGACTATTTGATTTCACTTCCTTGTCCGCTTAGTACATTTAGCGATGTTGGACAACATCACTGCACACCATGTCAAGCGGGATGCTTTGCTAATACAAGTGATTCTACGTCCTGTACTGCATGCACACCTGATTTTATATGCCAAAGAGCCAATCAAAATCAGTACCTTGTTCACTCGGCACATATTCTTCCTGTATAACTCAAGGATGCTGTAGCACCTGTCTTCTCGACACATATACGTCTAGTACAAGATCAATGCAGTACATTTGCTGCCACTCCGGTACCAGCTGTCTTCCAAGTGTGGCGCTTACTTGTAGTGAGTTGTGGCGAAGGACTTCCCAATACCATAGGAAATTCAGCAGGAAGTACAATGCCATCGAGAATATCGATTTTGTATGCTTTATTTCAATCACAAAACAACAAAGCATCTCCGACAATTCAGAGTTTATTCTCTTTGAATTCATTGCATTTAAGACAGTATCTATGAAGGGACCGACGAACCGAGACATTGCTCTAAATTCAGATTTTTGATTTTTTATGTGCACGTATGGATATTGGTCGATCTTATCTTCATGGTCACCCACATCTACACTTACACCCTACACCCACACTATTACGGAAAATCGAACATTTTCTGAAAATTATAAAATCGTTCGATCATTAATAAAACTTTGAAAACGCTTGTGCTTTTGCTAACTCGGTTTCCTAAAAAGTAGAATTTATTTAAAATTTATAGTGTACATTTTACGATGCCGCTATCAAATCACTTAGCACATATTCACCTGTTCCTGCAACAGTGTCATTTCCAGTAACAAATGAAGTACTACGAAACCGATACAGTGCTGCTATTTTGGCAATCATTGCATATTCTTCTTTGCTACAAGTTGTTATTTGACTGTGCATGGCAATATAAAGAGTTGGTTTTCGTTTCAAACCGGCCAACCATGAATACAAATTTGGCAACACTTTGCATTCATAACTTTCGATATCGATTTTCACAAATACATGTTCGATGGTAGGATCAATTTGCCATGTCGTGAATAACTCGGGCAATCGATAACAACGTACTGTCCATTGCGCAGGAGCATTATTATTCGTTTCTTGAAAGAATTTGTGAATCGAGGACATACTATTACCGGGATTTGCGCTCCTCATTTGAACATGAGTCGATTCGACTCCTACACACCCCGCTTGTAGATGAACACGATGGTACCAGAGGGATTGAGTATTTTGCTTTAAGTTATGAGATATCTTTGAGAAAGCAGCAGGATCAGCTTCAATAGCATAAGTTCTAGCCGCTAACTGGCTGCTAAAGAGAACTGTTGGTCCAATCCAAGTGCCAATATCAACGACGACCGTATCCGAATTAACATAATGCATTAATGCAGTATAGGTATTCAGTTCCCAAGTTTCTTTCTCGACAACATCCCAAAATCCTGCATCAGTTTCTAACACTCGAGCAGTAAGCCCTCCAATGGGAAACTTCACTAAACGAACTTCTTTCTTTTTGTTTAACTCTTGAGAGACCCGCTGATAAATTGCATGCGCACGATCATCCCAACCAGAGTCAAGCGTCACTGTCTTGTAAAACGCTTTTTCTCCGTTGCAATCGCCTGTTGATCGTGATAAAATAACACTATTTTGAGGCCAGTTGTACCATATAAAAAGCATGACAGCAATTGTGATGAAAATTAGAATTGCAGGTAACTGTGATCCCAAAGAAGCCATACCGTAGAAGTTCCACCGCTTTTCCTTTGACTAAAACAGAAACCTACAGAATAAACTTGAACTCCGTAAAGAAAACCTGAATATAAAACGTTGCCGAGATTTTTTTGCAATGGATATCATATAGCTAAGGTCCAAAGTGGTGTGGGTATGGGATGTGGATGGATGGTTGAAGAGAAGACACTGATGCACAATCACACTCCATCCACAACCCGCTCCCCCCCCCTCCCGTCCCACACTGTCTCAAACAACTCGTCTTGTAAGCATATTCGTAACAAACTTTCTTCATGAAACGCTTTGACTGAAGAAAAATGATTAGAATATTGCTATTCTAATTCTTGACGAGTGATTCTGACATTTGTATTGTTGTCTATCTTACATATATTGATCACCATAACGTGATCGATAGCAGAACTTTTCAACAAAGCTCACAATTACTAACGATACATCAAGTCAAGCCGATAGTTAATCTAAGCAACTATTCTGTAAAAGAGATGTAGTGCAAGCGAACACATATAAAAGAAAGAGCGAGTAAGTAATTGAAGGAGAGAAAAAAAATCATTTTTTTTCTTCGTGTGCTGGAGGGAAAAAAAGACAGAACGAAAGCAAAATTGTTTCGAATGCAGACGGATGATGAACTAACGGGTGTGCCAGGATGAATGGCCACGTTTTGTATT